GTATAAGTAATCCTGGTTAGTAGTAGTAGTAGTAGAGTATAGTAGTAGTCATATGTATTCAGTAGTAGTAGTAGTAGTAGTGGGAATAGTAGTCGTAGTAGTAGAGTAGTAGTAGTAGTAAGTAGTAGTAGTCGTAGTAGTCCTCGTAGGCTAGAATTCGTAGTAAGTCGTAGTAAGTTGTAGGTAGTAGTAGGAGTAGTAGTAGTAGTAGTAGTAGTAGTATTGGTGGTGGTGGAGGTTGGTGGTGGTGGTGGTGGTAGTTAGTATGCAAGTATTTTTGTAGTAGTAGTAGTCCGTAGAGTAGTGGTGAATAGTAAGTAGTGTAGTGGAGTAAGTTCAGTAGAGGAGTAGTAGTAGTTTGTAGTCTTAGTAGTAGTCGTATCGTAGTGGTAGGTCAGTAGTATAAGTAGTAGTAGTAGTAGTGTAGAAGGAGGAGGAGGAGTACGGAGTCGTAGTCGTAGTTCGTAAGTCATAGAGAGGGAAATGGTAGTAGTAGTAGTAGTTAAAGTAGTATTAAGTATGTAGTAGTAGTAGTAGTAGTAGTAGTAGTAGCAGTAGCAGTAGCAGTAGCAGTAGCAGTAGCAGTAGTAGTAGTAGTAGTAGTAGTAGTAGTAGTAGTCTTCGTAGTAGTTGTAGTAGTAGTAGTATTAGTAGTAGTAGTAGTAGTAGTAGTAGTAGTAGCAATAGTGTCAGTAGTAGTAGTAGTAGTAGTAGTAGTAGTAGTAGTAGTAGTAGTAGTAGTAGTAGCAGTAGCAGTAGCAGTAGCAGTAGCAGTAGCAGTAGCAGTAGTAGCAGTAGTAGTAGAGGGAGGGTCAGCAGCAGCAGTTTCCACCGGTCAGACTATAGATGGTTGGAGCCACCAATATCTACAAGTTGCATCGTAACGCTTGACACTAAAGTTATGTGCTTCTAGATGCCAGCAGGACGTGCTTGCGAGGAGAGCAATGACGAGATGTAGAGTAACGGATCGTCCTCACTCGTGTGTGTCAGGCCGCGGAGTATGTGAAGGCCCACGGGAAGCTGTCAGATTCGTTGCTGGATCAGCGCAAGGATCAACGTGCATGCGTTTCCCCTCGGGCAGCCGCTCCCGACTTTGTTGTTCCTAGTCCATGCTCTCTCCCTTCTGTCCTTTCTCCCTCCCTTTCATCTTCGTGCTCCCTTGTTCGTGTACACATTCTTCAATCCTGCATATTTTCCTTTCGACTTGTCCAGTATCTCGCATTCCACCTCTTCTGGAATAGGCCCCTTCCCTTCTAGGCTAGTCCTTCCATTTCCTGCTTTCTCTGCAGCGTTTGTATTGTATTCCTGGATCCCTCATCCTCGCTGTTGTCGTCATAGGTTCCCTCTTTCTACATCAGTATACTTCGTCCAATGTGTATCCCTGTTGCCCTCTTCCGTGCCTCCTCTCTTTTGAAGTGTCTGTGATTATGGGCACATGGTTTGTCCTCTCTCTCTCTCTCTACTGCCTTTTGGCATCGCTCTTCTGCCCGTCGGTCGCACCAGTAACGTTCTCATCATCATGCTTCCTGTGCTAATCTTCCCTTTACTTGTCCTTAACGCTTCCCCCTGTCCACCTCCCGCTCGACAGTGCCAGCTCAGAGCATGCGGATCCCAATGCGTGCAGACATCGGCAGTTGGAAGTGCTGAGGCACAAGCTTCACATTATCTTTACGCGGTTGTGGACTGCAGCGCGACCTAATCCAGCTAGCCATATTCCAAATCTTCGAAAGCAACTGCAATCAGTTCATCTCTTCCTACTCCCTTTCTCTTCCTCCTCCCATCATCCCTCTTGCCTCCTCCCCCTCCTGTTCTTCCCCCCGCCCCCCGCTCCTTCCGTGGAACCTCCTCGTCCGAAACCCTAGGCACGAAGTGCCAGGTGAGAGGGGGGGTTCAGGTAGATTCCAGCCACATTCTTGCCCAAATCGTGCATGCACTCGCTCTCCTACCATCCGATCCTCACGGTTCCACCACATCCCCAGCTTCCCGAATTTGTGATGCGTCTCCCTCGTAGCGAATACATGTTCTTATGCCCCATGCCGCATCATACCTCAGCACCTCTCCTTTTTAACCTTCTCGCCGCCAGTTCATTTCAAAGGCTGTTCTCATGCAGTCCAGCGTCGCTTCCTCTTGCTCCTCCCTCCGTTCCCCTCTCCCCACTCCTCCTCCTCCTTCTCCTCCTCCTCCTACTCGTCCTCGTCCTCGTCCTTTTCCTCGAGTAAATATGCTCCTCTCCGCCGAATACTCAATTAGAAGATAACTTAGGTTGCATGCAACGAACTGTCCGCGTGTACTGACGCTGCGTTTCTGCAGCTGTGTTACTGCTCAAACCAGCCGAACTCGGCTGGCAGGAGAGAAAAGGAGCGCGCTGGGGCGCGCGGGCGATCCGTCGTCGTCCGTCCTCGGCCTTCCTCCTCCCTTCCTATGATTGATCGAGTGGTTTAGCTTAACGGATATCTGTCTTATCAATGTCTCATCTCGCCTCCGCTCTCCCTGAGCAGACTGAGCATGAGATCTTATTTCCTTTGTCATATTACCCCGATTCTCAGAGGAAAAACTTGCTATCAGCCGAAACGCGCGACTCAGTCGACGCGGGGCCGCCAGATACAAAAGGGAATCTTCAAGTCGTGCCCCGCGATTCAGTCGCTGCGGGAGAGAGCTACGATAAGACTAACATCGTGTCTAATATCCCGAGAAGCGCAGATTGGCGCGTTGAACAACATGATGGACACGAAACAGATACAATCGGTCCTATCCAATACCGAATCCTTCCTTCGACAATCGCCGATCGGGTCACCAGGGGGAGAAGTATTGATGGGATAACCGAAATGTCGGTAGACATGCCCACAGTAGGGGCTCCGATAGGTGATCGTGAGCAAACCCCTGACCCTCTCGGGCGAGAAGGCGTCACGCCAAGGCCCAGAAGAGGTGAATTCTCTTCCAGGTTAAGTGCCAACTCGACGGAGTCGATAAGTCCCATTCAGAATGCTCCACAGGCTACCGCCATTGCCGCTGGCGAAGCCAGCCGGCCAGGAGAAGCCCAAGGGAATCCGAGTGCGTATCCTAACGTCCCCGTAGATTGGGTGGGTATGCACATTACTGCCCCAACCCCTATAGCACTTAACGGGCAATTCGGTCAGGATAGCGACGACCCATTGGACAAATATCACGAAATATATTCCATGGAGGGAAATTTTGATAGTAGCAGCAATTATATTTCCCTGAGCCGAGCGTTGTCCGTGATGCTGGATGAGGACATCCCTGCTCGTGACAAAAGCTGGTCTCCAGATGGATCCGATGAGGACACTAGTATCCTGACGCCTCAGGCGGACAGGACGGAGACTCAAACAAAGCATGAGAGGGAGTCCACTGGGCGAACTCCTGCGCCTAACCTCAAGAAATAACGGAATGAGGACTATGAGCTAAACGTCTCGCCATTAAAAGAAGGCTTCTTCCGTAACGCCACCACCTCAGGCGAGTGGCAACCCACTATTCCGGCTGTTGTTGAGGACGAAGAAATGGTCGGACAACAGGATATATACTCTCAGCGAATCAAACGAGACGAGAAGGATGAGGAACTCTTAAATGAGCCCAAACCACCAGAAAGTACTTTTGCCCGCCCAAGATCAAACGCTTCGAGCAGGGGAAGACCCAAAATACCAAGATCAGGGGCGAGGTCTACCTCTAGAAGCAACAGTACAGTCTCCATGATGGAGGTATGTTGGAATCCGACTCCTGGCAGCGCGCCTCAGGCGAGAACAGATGCCCAGGAAAGGCCAACAAGCCCGAAGGCGCATGTAGGAACCCAGTGTGCAGGAACTGCTCGGACGTTTGTAACAAATGTAACATGCAATGGCTATGCGCGGAGTGCTACCCAATGGACGAACATAACTGCGCGTATCTCTTCTTGCAGTCTGTTCAAGACCAGGCCAGGCTAGCAGAGGCTAACACTCAGAGAGAGTTTCTGACTACTGAGGCGAATCAGGCTGAAAGGGCTCGGATGGACAGAGAAGAATTAATTGAATATGTGATCGAAGCCAGGAGAACGTTTGAGGCTGAACGGATCGCCCTAGCCATGGCCGCTAGAGAGCGCGAACAAGCGCTTATAGAACACCTGCACAGCCAAACTGAGGCCGTGAAATGGCAAGTGGAGAGGGAAGCGGAAGACAAATACAGAGAATTATTGACTTCGGAGAGACGGGCCGTCATGGTGGCGAACGAAGAATCTGCGGACGCTCATGCGGTTGCCGCTGCTATTGCGGTGGCCAAGATAGAAGGAGAACAAATCGCGACAG